AGCACCAAATATGTTTTTTACGAAAATGCAAGTCATTTTTTCTGAAAATTTTCCAGTTTTTACTGTTTTTTTTTTCACCGAGTCAATGTTTCCGGAAATTTTAAAACCCTAGGTAAACCTAGATTGGGACTAAAGTCAGTTTCGGGTTTATCGCAAATATTTATTTTTGAAAAATGTCGTGTGCTTAAAATTCGTATTACAAAAGTTAAGGGAAATCGATATCGTGTGCTGAAAATTCGTCTGAGCAAATCAGTTTTATTTTCAATTCAATTTTTGCTGATAGCTATCGACAGGTATCTATCCCAATATCAAGATTTATGACGTCCTCACCTCTAAATTGTATTTATTGTTTGATATTCTTTTAATCGAACATCACAAACTATTTATACTTATTTTATAAATGATTTATATGTATGCATTTTCTAAAACCATTTCTGGTATGAACATATTGCAATAAAATTTGACCAGTTAACCAGTCTTCTAAATTTATATACTCAATAAATTAAATACTGCAAAATATTGGCAATTTTTCTGAAAATTTCCCAATTTTTACGGTTTTTTTTTCACCGAGTCAATGTTTCCGGAAATTTTAAAACCCCAGGTAAACCTAGATTGGGACTAAAGTCAGTATCGGGTTTATCGCAAATATTTATTTTTGAAAAATGTCGTGTGCTTAAAATTCGTATTACAAATGTTAAGGGAAATCGATATCGTGTGCTGAAAATTCGTCTGAGCAAATCAGTTTTCTTTTCAATTCAATTTTTGCTGATAGCTATCGACAGGTATCTATCCACAGAAATTTCTGTGTATCTATCCCAATATTAAGATTTATGACGTCCTCACCTCTAAATTGTATTTATTTTTTGATATTCTTTTAATCAAACATCACAAACTATTTATATTTATTTTATAAATGATTTATATGTATGTATTTTCTAAAACCATTTCTGGTATGAACATATTGCAATAAAATTTGACCAGTTAACCAGTCTTCTAAATTTATATACTCAATAAATTAAATACTGCAAAATATTGGCAATTAGTTTATCTATATTTGAAATATTCCTGACACACTTAATACTTCCACTATAAATTAAATGCATCTTTAGCCAGCCTGGCGATAGTTAAAACTTTATTTATTTTGCCATTAGGTGCCAACATAAAATTCACGCCCGCCACGGGGGGTCAACGAAATTACATACTCCCTCCCCTTCCATAAACTAATTTTATCATCGCGGCGACCATTTTAGCTCTATGACATTATAATGCATTATGCACTGCCACTACATTACACACTGCTGCTCGTAAAGATTATTTTAACACTTCCTGTTTGCTATCCGAAGCGAAATATGTGCCATTCTGGCTAAAAAGAAAGAGTGAAATTCCTGGTAAAACATGCGTTTGACTAACGAGAAACTTAACTTTAGCCAAGGCAATATTTATTTTGTAAAGTTTTTTTATATAAAAAGAAATCTAGTTTAAATAAGTGAAACTTTGCCAAACTAAAACCACTTTTAGAGACGTGTTTATGTTTATTTGACATAATAGTATATTATTAGCATTTAAATTAAATCATTGCTCAAACTGTAAATATAAATCACAACGGTATACTTAATATATAAGTATATTATATTACATTATAATGTATGACATTAGGGTGATTTTTTTTAACATTATTTTTCCACCCCTACAGCAAAATTTTAATGTATATATATCGAGAAAAAAATGTTCTTAAAATAGGTAGGTAGGTACTTTAAATTTGAATTTTACATTGGAATAAGAGACAATTTGGAAGTTTTTTCAATTTTTTTATAACTTGGCGGTAGGTATTATACGCGACTACAATTCACATAGGAAAATTATCCTATATTTCCTGTTATTTAAATGGAAAAAACTTTAAAATCAATGTAAAAGTAATTAGGAGTAAGAATAAGGGCTGAACCAATTTTTTTCTTAGATATACATCAATATGGGTATCAAGTTTACTAAATGACATTTTATCCACGAATTTTAATTTAGGCATGAGCGAGCTTGCGAGTGTTTAATTAAATAAGTCTTTAGAAAAGGTTATAATTATTTAATTAATTTAAATGAGTTGCATAGGTACTTTTTATACGACAAATACATATTATTATCTAAAAATGATTTAAATTTAATAGTTGTTAAAGCGACATCATAAAACAATAGTGTAACCATTCTTGGGAATCGTTATTATAATACGGGCGCGCCGCTGAAAAGTTTAATGTGTAAATCGAAATCTATCTATCCCTTGATAATGGACTAACAACAGTTTTTAACAGTGGAATTGAAAATAATGGCGTTGAAAAACTATTTAATACTTTAATATTTTTGTAATAATCAGCTGGCAAACGCATAGGTTACAAACGAGTGTTTTTGAGAATAAAGCCGGAAAATGTTTAAAAAACCGTGGCACGATTTGTTGTTGTTGAGGGTTTTTCGAAAGGAAATCCTGGTTTGAGTTTTTACCGGTTTCCCAATAAACAGTGTTAATGCGAATGAAGAAATAAATTGCATACAGTCACTGCAAATATAAATTATACCTATTTGATACAATAAATACACATTTTAGTAATGATTAAAGTGAAAAGTGTAAATATTTCAATTCAGTAAAAATCGTCAAACAAATAAGTCATCTAAATTCAAACAGCATTTAGCATTATTAAAAGCGTCTCCACTTATGTATTATAATATAATATTATATATTATTATATTATATAATATTTTGTTGCCATGAATTCGTAGCAATATTTTGTTGTTTAAAATACAGTTGTCGGCGTTTTTTAGAGCACTAAAATACAAAAATGTTCAATTTTAAGGTTATGTTTGTGCAACAATTATTTTTTACTAATTTCTTAAAAACGTACTAACTTAAATATAAATTATATTAGGTAAAAGTTATTATTAGTTAATTCTGCACCAACAAATATACTTGCCGAATTGGATCATTTGACAAAACATGAAAATACAACGATTTACCTAGTTGAATTGAATTTTATTTAAAATTAAAAACACAAAAATTCACCCTGATTACTTAGATAAAATACACACACTAATGTACCGTAAACACGGGTGGCTTTGGCTCACTTTCAAACTTAAGCTTAAAATTTTTGTGGTTTTAACAATCATAAACATTAAATTTTGTATACCAAAATTTGAGTCTTGAGTTGCTCTTTCAAAATAACTATGTTATAATATTACATAGGGCTGAGTTTCAAAAATAAAAATTAAAAACTGGGTGTGCAAAGTTACCCCCTGGTTGCGGGTTACTTTGTCTCACAGTGTATTTTCCGTATAAAATGAATTCAATATTATATTTTATTTTTATTAGACACGTGTTAGCAGCGACATATATCCATTGCAAGGGATTACCAATAAAAAAAATAAAAAATCGACCTGTAGTTAACCAAGGATCATCATTCCAATGGATTGCGCATAATATAGAAATTGTAACGCGTGTATTTTTAAGAGTTTTGCACTGATGCGATATATACAATTTTAAAGTGTAATAAATCCCATTTCTTTCTTTAAAACACTGATTTTCCTGTAATATAAACTCAATAGAATCGCTCAATTGACAGGTTTAGATCAACAAATTATAAATGTTAATTTAATCGAGCGCGAAAAGATTTTTCATAAATGGCCATTTTTTAACTTTTAACCCGGGTTAAAGTCACCCGCGGGGTGCAAAGTCACCCGTGTTTACGGTAACTAAATAAGCAAATAAGCGTTGAGTTTCTTAATCAATTATAAGGAATCGGTAATTAATCGAAAAAAATCGAAATCTACACCAAAGTTTTTTAGTTTTTAGTTGCAACGCAAAACACAAATAACGTGAGCGATTTAGCTCAATTGAACATAATTTGTCGAGTAAGATTTCTGCCTTTCTTTCTTTTGTGAAAAAACTACTTATTTATTTAAAACTGATGTGCAGTTGAACAACAATACATTTAAAGCATACAAACTGCAGCAGTTTGTATGCTTTAAATGTATTGTTGACAATTCCTAAATTCACACAATGCTATCGAACTCCATCAGATGGCGGGCGCGTTGCGAAAACCCCATGCTTCTTTGGCGAATTTTCCAGAAAGGGCACTTTATTTTAACGATTGTATGACATTTGACAACTGTCAACTAACTTAAAACTAACTTCAGCCCTTGACTAAAAACTTGTTGCTAACTTCAGCCCGTGCCTAAAAGGCCATAAAACATGCACGGTAATGGGCGTTTTAAAGGTGGTAATAGAAAAAAAATGTTCGTTTAAAACAAATCACCTATTTAAATGTTTTAGCAAACCTTATATTTTGCACACAAACATGCTGTCTAAATATCTAAATTCAAACTGTCAAAAGTATGCCAAAGAGCACAATTAAATTAATCACCTCAAAAGTAATTACACTAACTTTATAGCCCTAGGTCATAAAATATTTTACAGTGTAATACACTGAGTGTATAATATAATAATGGTAGAGTTTGATACATCAACGTTATCAGTCATGCACCGTTGTCACCGTTGCGTTCGAACTCTGGCTTCTAAGTGGAAAAATATTCGATTACATTTTTTAAGGATTTTATTTTTAAATTCCTATTTATTAAAATCATAACTTTTGAAATATTTGAAAAGGGTTTTATACATTTTACGTTAAAATTAAAGAGTTATTTAAAATGTATATTTTTATATTTAATGAAATTAATATAAAAAGTATAAAGGTATATTTTATATAAATTTTATGATCTCATGTAATAATTAAATTGTATAATTTTCGTTTTTTTTTACAAATACTATATTACCTAATATATTATGATCTTATGTTATACATTATAATAATTCCAATTATAAACCATTATCGCACAAAAACGACCAACTCAATGAGCGTTGTTTAGGATATGACCGCATAAACAAAAATTTCAACGATAACACACATGTTCGTAACAATACCCAATGATTAAACATATATTTATAGCGTAGTCTATTTGTTGCAGAATGAATAACACTATAGCCATGGAATCGGAGACGCAGCTTCATTCAACTGTCGACGTTCCCACGGAAACGGACACCTCGATCAACGATACCATCGTGGCAGAGGACCCGGACAACACCATACACGGATTTAACGCGTCCGGAGCGAACGAGACGGTCATAGAGAAGTCGAATAAAGAGCTGCTGGTCGATCTAGTGAAGTGCGAGGGTAGTGACAGTGGGGTTGAGGTGGTTGAGGGTCAGGAAAATTGTGGTTATCAACGCACTCTTAGCTCTAACAGTGGCAATTCGCATGATTTTGACACGGTTTTACCTAGATCGTGCGATTCATCCATTATAAGCTGTTGTTCTAACTACGATGAAGCTTTTAATTTACTAGTGAGGAAAAACTCGACCCTATTAGAAGATTACTCGCGTAACGGTGATGTGACAAGTGAGAACGGTAGTGAATCATCTTCTATATCGGGTACTACATCACGCAACAAAAGAATTCTACTCAACAGTGCCAAAAAGAAGGTTTCCGTGGCTGAAGCTAAAACTAAATCTGCTTTGGCGAAAGAAAGATCGCGTTCAAAACCACCCCAAACGCCGAAAAATACCACACAACCTGCCAGACTTAAATCCTTGGATCGCTTACAAGGCAGATCCAGTACTACTAACACCCCAAAACCCAATAACTCCACCACCACAAGAACAAAATTAACACCAACAACACTAGACTTAAACACATCCTCTAAAAGACCCTCATCGGGTCGTTCTTCATCATCCACTAGAACCCCACAATTGACCCCATCCGATGACGGCAGGTGGCCATCGGTATACTCCAAACCTGCGCCGTTGATGTGCAAAAGCCTACGCGGCAACCTGGAAGGAAAACCCAAAGCACCCACCCAAATGGAGTCGAAAACCATTGAAAAATACGCCACTCTTCCAAGGCGAAAAAAGGAGAAATCCGCGGAAACCATCCCCAAAAAAACAAACAGTAGAGAAAGTAGTACTAATCGTTTAGCGGTAACTAAGAAACAAAGCTCAAGAGAAACGACTCCCTCCAAGTATTCTTCCATTTACACCAACAAGGTTAAGCAAAAGGTTAAAATTTATCACGAAACTAGCATACAGACAGCTTTAACCATGGCGGATGTCGAAAAGGCACTAAATGGCGAAACTGTTTGCTATAAAGACCCCAGAGAGATCGAGAAGGTTAGCCAGGGTGTGCAAGTCGATATCAGTCGGAAGGAGTTTGAGAAACTCGAGGAAAAACTAAAATCGATGACGGAAAAGTACGAGACTTTGCAAGGTGATTACAAAACTCAGACTGGAAAACTTGAAGAGACTGAAGCCAAGTTGAAAGAAGAAGAGGTTGATAAGGAAGGGATAAAAAAAGAGTTGGAAAATAATACGCAAAGGGTTTTGGCCTTGCTTGGAACCGACAATAATCCAGGTATTTTTAAATAATGGGGTAGTTAAATTTTTTCTGACCTTTACTTTTTATGGTTTTATTCAAGGCGTTTTGTAATATTAAACATTTCTGTGAAATCAGAATTTCAATTGAGTTTACATTTCTGTGAAATCAGAATTTCAATTGAGTTTACCGTTTTCGAGATATTTACAAAAAATATAAATTTGACCAACATTCTAAGATTTCTATTGGTTGAAAATTACCCTGTTGTCAAGTTGTCTTGTTAATGATTTCATTCGGTTATGTCAGAAAATACCCGAAGAGGTTATGTGCAAATACTGTCACTGTCAGTTGAGTGAAAGATGGTCACCAAATTCATTAAGTACCTATCTTCCTTATTACGAGGTATCATATTACTGTTTGATATTTTGAGTCCAAGATATATCTAAAAGAATATAAAGAACTAGGCATTATACTAATGAAATGCATTTACGACAAAATATGATTATAATTATAGGTACTTACTTTATTTGTTTAAAAGCTCCAATGTTCAATGTAACCAACCATTCCACAAGATTCCTCTGCTTTGGAGTCCGTTATTAATAAATCACTTATCTAATATCAATTACAAATAACATAACAATAACATTGATTTTCAATAATCTAAATTTAAAAAAACATAACCCGAAAAAAAGAAACGTCAAAAAATCAATTCTTTTTCTTCTTCTCAACTAAAATTATAGATCAAGTGGTTTTAAAACTAAAATATTATAACGTGGCGCCATCTATCGTAAGAATCTTAAACTAAACACACTGGCAACCATAGAAAAAGCTGACAACGTTGTCAATAGCCTAGTGACGTAATTAGGAGATTTTTTTTTGTAAATATCTCGAAAAAGGTAAACTCAATTGAAATTCCGATTTCACAGAAATGTTTAAAATTACAAAACGCCTTGAATAAAACCATAAAAAGTATAGGTCAGAAAAAATTTAACTACCCCATTTTGTAAATATTATAAAAATAACACTATGTTTTTCTTAGATATTCCAAGCACGAGCAACAGCGACAGCCTCCTGGTCCTGGAAAACCGCTTCCAGAACGTAAGCCACGTGGTGATCCGCCAGGAAGAAGAAATCGCACGGCTCAACTCGTACACTAGATCCCTGCAAATCGAGCTGGACAAGTGCCTGAACGTTCAGAAAAATTTGCTGCTGCAACAGCAGGAGTTGCAAGCGGAGAGCATCGAGTTGCAGGACTTTATGCAGGCTGAAAAGCAAATGGTCAGCGATGCTTTGAAAGATGCAGAGAATGAGATCAACAGATTGAAGGAGGTTGTGCACCAGAGGGAGAAGGAAGTGCAAGATAAGGTGAGATAGAAGTAGCATTTGGTATTGATATTTCAGAAATAGGATTGAGCAATTGCCAATTTTAGCAAGTATTTAAATAATTAATAATGTCTATTGGTTTATTTTAATTTTATGGCAATTTATAAATGATGAGCAAGACTGAGAGAAGCAATGAACTTAATTTTGTTTAGACACCAGGAGCATGATATAGAAATCGATTTTGACGATTTATAATATAAGTAATAGATTGAAGAAGCAAAATTTAAGTATTTTAATATTCCAAAACTGTGATATCAAGAACTAATGTTAATGTTATTTTCATTGTATAAAAATTTATTATTGTAATTTATTTAAAATTTAAACTGCAGTGATTTTAAAGTATTGTATTGTATATTTTTAATTTAATTTGTGATGTGTAAGATTAAAAACTAATTATTGTTTTTAATTAAAAATTTATTTATATAAAATCATCTGCATTTTTTTGTTTTATGTCATTGTGTGTAAATTTTTGTCATTTTTGTGTTTGGCCAAAAAAATAAGTCTGTATGTCTAAAAACGTAAATTTTATTGATTTTTTCTCATATTTTCTTAAATTTAATACTTTATTTAAAAATAGGATTTAAGACTTTATTATTAAAATGATCGTGGATTCTTATACAAGGTGTCCCTAAACTTATTGGCATAAATTTAGGTAAAGATTAAGCAAGTCAAAATAAGACGAAAACCTAAATAAATATTTTTCCTAATTACTTATGTTTCCAAGATACAGGGTGATAAAGTGTTACTTATCATATCAGTTTTTTTGATATAACTTCTACTATGGTAGTCTTGGAAAGGTGAGATTTTTCGAACAGTCACTTACTACCAAAACACATTCACACATAATTAGAATTGTTTGAGTGAACACAGTGTCGTAGAAACGGGGGTTGCTATAAGCTTATTGTCCCATACAAACTTTGAGGTTAGGTTTTTATAAAATTTAATGCAATTTTTCGATCACTCAGTTCGGCTACTATTAAAAAGGTGTACCTCTCAAACTTCGATAAAATAAACCGTTTCCGAGATATTCGAGATTACAATAATTGTTAAATCGCATTATTTAAAAGGATTAAAAGGTACATGATAACAAATTTTATTTTTTAATTGAAAAAACTAAAAAGGGCATTTTATGAGCCTCGGGATTTTTTGCGCTGACCGTCACATTAAAAAAAATTGTAGTTTTTTCAATTAAAAAATTTGTTATCATATACCTTTTAGTCCATTAATGCGATATAACAATTATTGTTATCTCGAATATCTCGGAAACGGTTAATTTTATCAAAGTTTGAGAGGTACACCTTTTTAATAGTAGCCAAACTGAGTAATCGAAAAATTGCATCAAATGTTACAAAAACCTAACCTCAAAGTTTGTATGGGACAATAAGCTTAAAGCAACCCCCGTATCTACGACACTGTGTTCACTCAAACAATTGTAATTATGTGTGAATATGTGTTTTAAAACCAATTGGTAGTAAGTGACTTCGCAAAATATCACCTTTCCAAGTCTACCATAGTAGAAGTTATATTAAAAAAACTGATATGATAAGTAACACTTTATCACCCTGTAACTTTTAAACATACGTAATTAGGAAAAATATTTATTTAGATTTTCGTCTTATTTTGACTTGCTTAATCTGCTCCTAAATTTATGCCACTAAGTTTAGGGACACCTTGTATATAAAATAATAATTATAATAATAATAATTTATTTTTAAAATATTTTACGAATTTATAAAATAATTGACAGCGGTATACGTTTTTGCCGTAACTAAAAAAATTGGTAAACAGGAAAAAAATTATCAAAGGTTTGTTTAAATATATTATTAATATTCTTTTAAAGTTTCTTACTTTTAAAATTCAAAATTTGTCTACCATTTTATAAATTTTTCCTATTGTGTGAATTTGTCCTACAGTTTTATAAACTAATACTAGTGTGCGATTTTTTTGTCACTATTTTTTAAAGTTAAACCACTGCAAATGTGTCCTACGTAGGGTTCCCTTTTTAAATGTATGCATCAAGGGCAAGTTTTTTTTGCACACATTGCACACAACAACGTGACTTACTTCTCAGACTTTATGCTCCACTGATACTTATGGGCGTTAAAAGCTTTTCATATTTTCGTGGCACGCGCCAAAACAAGTATAACTTTAAAACCGATTGAAAACAAAAGTGTCATTAATTTCTTTATATGTATTTCCCTCATACTACATTTTGACTGTTTTAATTATATTATAGTATTAATTTTGAAACTCCTAAAATCGCAGTTGTCCTCAAGAGGAAATTATTTGTCCTATAGTTTAATCATAATCAATATAAAAAATAAATTAAAATATTGCACTGTGCAATAAATAGGTCAGGTAAATAACATAATTCTCCTATAAACATAAACTAAACCAAAATTTATATACATTTCAGCAAGATGAATCAAACCATTTGGTACGCCTCTGCGAGGAAAGGAAGCAGGACATGTTAACTCTGCAAGGTAGACTTAATAGCATAGAAAGCAAAAGCCGGGAATTATTGGTACAACAGGGTAGTTCAGTGTCTGGGGCAGCAGTGGCTCTAGCGGCACTTATCGCACGTTTAGAGGGTCTTGTAGAAGAACTAGTCGCCGCTTACAGTATATCTGACCAGGAACTAGACGTAAGTAAAAAGTAGTATATGTTAGGGTGCTTCATTTTAGAGCGACATTTTTTTTTCAATGTCCCACCTGAAAATCTTGTAACCAGTCAGAAAACAAAAATTTTTAGCTATTACAAAGCTCTTTTATTATTTTAAGCCGTTGCTATTCAATTTTTAAATATTTCCCTTTAAAAACCATAAAAAACAATGTTATTCTTTTCTTATTTCGCTAGTACAGTAAGAATATTTTTTTCGAATGTCGGTTCTAAAATCTTTATACAGGATGAAATTATTTTCAAAAATGTCTATTTAAGCAAGTCTGTAAGTTGAATAGGTTCTTCACAAATTGCCGTTCTACTCTAAAATATTCTAAAATAGCAGTAAATCGTAACTGGAGACTAAACTATTTATTGTAGATAAAAAACGTAAATGACAATTTTGTAGGGAATTTTGTTAAGAAATATTTTCCTGTATCACTTATAGTTAAGCTTGTACAAACACCCAAAGTGTCAAATTCTTAAAAATTCAGTTTCTGACTGTAATAACTATACTATTAGAGTTACGTGAAAGAGTGGCTGTACAATAGGGTTGCCATAAGCAGATCATCGGTCACCGGGACATTTTTGTAAAAATGACCATAACAATCGACAAATAAGTTAGGATTAGTGAAAATATATAATAATGGTGGGTTCGAAAAAGTTTTGTTTTGTTTTGATATAAAATGTGAAAAAAATACTCAACTTATTAATTTTTTTATTAAATAATAAAAATATAATATAAATAAAACATAAAATACCTAACCAAATAAGAAACTCAAAAAATTACCAAACTCTTTGGTTTAAAAAACCTCTCATTAATCATTTTTCTTTCGCATGCCAATCTTATTTTTCAGATTTGCTTACTTGCCTTAGTAGTTCCGGTTGACTTTTCACATACTTATAAAATTCTGAACAGGTGATATTATAATTTACTTTCAACAGTTTCTAAAGTAAGCCTATTTCGCTCTTTGGTCCACTGTGAAACTAACAAAGAGAAAATTCTCTCAACACCTGCATTATGGCCAGGAACAGCATATAAATATTGGCAAATCAAAAGTAAATTTGCCTTTTGCTCTTTAATATCACTTTGCTGAAAAAAGAACAACCATTTATCATGCATAGATTTAGCATTCCAGACCGGATCATGTTCTAATTTAGTAATTAAATCTTTCAAGTACCTACAATACTTCTTCAAAACAACAATCATTGATGGTTGTACCTTTTTCTTATAAATAGGATATAGTTTTTTCAACTTCTTCCCATTCTGGTCATCCATGAAAAAACATTGAATTTGACGAGAGGAGCACTCCACTGTAGTAAATATTCCAATGCTGTTTTATAAAAATCCTTAATTTCACCGTCAAATAATTTTATGGTATTAGTAAATTGAGGGTCTCTTTTAATTTTGTCGTACTCCTTTTTCATCTAGATTCCAAGAAATGTTGACTTACTTCGTTCCAACAGAGTGCTTTCCAGATCTTGAATAAGTTCGTTTACCTCTTTTATGCTTGTATGTGATTTTTCAATTCTCTTAACACGTTCGCGGACACGAACGAAAAATGGTGACTGCGGAAAACGCATGACAATATTTGATGAGCTAGAAAATCTGCCGCCAAAACTTTACCAGGGACATTTTTCGTAATTTTTCAATTTCTGCTGGGACACCAAACTTGTACGCATTGAAAATGACCTATAAACCGAGCGGCAAACGCCGCGTTGGTGCAGCAGCGAGATTCATGTTTGGACGGCGTAAGCCGCTTTGTCCCTGTATTTAGAGCGGCATATGCCGCTTTGTCCGCGAACGTGTTAATTTGCTTTTCAAACAGAAAAGATTGGCTATGCAAAAATAGAGTACACTTCAGAAAGAGGATGTGAAAAAAAGTCCACCAACACTTTGGGTGGCTTTTGTCCGGCAAGAAAAAATTCTTCACAAGTTGCCACATATTTAAAATGCGTTCAATAGCTGGTAGCAGGGACAGCCATATTGTTCTTGAATGCGATAATAAACTGGCATAGGTAATATCAGCATCCTCACAAAACGATTTCAATCGTTCATTACGAACAGTGTATATTGAAAAGTATTTATAAATTTTGATCACTATCGATTCGATATCTAATGAAAAAATATCAGCAGCGGTGGAAGCTGCATTATGCAATATGTGAGCTGGACAACCAATACCTTCGACTTCTCTAGAAAGTGACGTTTTTAATTTAATAAAAACATTATTTGTTCCCTGACTGTTTCGGCCTCCAAAATTGGTATTTGTATTGTCCGCACTATATGCCGTTAATGTTTGTAATGGTATATTAAATTTATTTAATGTATCCAAACAGAAATTAACTATACTTTCTGAAGTTTCATTCGGTAAAAATACTGAATTAGAAGGGGGAATAATTTATCTGACTTGTGATTGCTAGCGTCAGTAAGTATTCTGTAAAAAGGGATGTTTTGTAGGTCATTTTAAATAAGTTGAATTGTATGAGGTCCCAATATATTTTTTATTATTGCGGTAGCTTTCGTTCTGGCAGTTGACTGTTTAAATCAACCATTACCTTATTATAAATGATTCAATGAAGTATATTAATTCCTTTAAACACCAATATGCGATCACTAAAGTACAAAATAACCAACAATCTGATAGCTCTGTTTAACGAAGCGTTTTATGTTCTGTGCGCTCTCTTTATCTCCCACTACTCGATTCACAACATTGAGTAATTGCGAAAAAAAATTGTTCTCGAATTTTCTTGATATATTATGAAGTTAGGTAGCTGGTGGCATCAGACCGGGACATTTGAAGCCTAAACCGGGACACCGGGACAAAGCTCTTGATACCGGTGACATGTCCCGGTGTACCGGGACGTATGGCAACCCTACTGTACAAGCTAAACTATAAGTGATGCAGAAAAATATTTCTAGACAAATTTGTAGGGCACACAATTCCCTACAAAATTGTTATTTACGTTTTTTATCTACAATCAATACTTTAGTCTACAAATACGATTTACTGCTATTTTAGAATATTTACGAGTAGAACAGCAATTTGTGAAGAACATATTCAACTTACAGACTTGCTTAAATAGACATTTTTGAAGATAATTTCATCCTGTATAAAGATTTTAGAACCAAAATTCGAAAAAAATATTCTTACTGCACTTAATGGTTTTTAAAGGGAAATATTTAAAAATTGAATAGCAACGGCTTAAAATAAAGATTAAGAGCTTTGTATTACCTAGCTCAAAATTTTTGTTTTCTCACCGGTTTCAAGATTTTCAGGTGGGACTTTGGAAAAAAAAATGTCGCTCTAAAATGAAGCACCCTAATATATGTATGAAATATTTTTTGCCTCAAAGACCATTACATTCTATTAATTCTTTAGGATGTAATATTCCACAACGAGACCTACAACAGTAGCAGCAGTCCGGAATCCACACCGGAAAAATCTCGAAAGAACTTCACCGACAAGAGCCCGTCGCCGAAAAACGGCTCTTCCTTCGTTTCCGCCGTCATAAACGCCATCAAAAACGCAGCTGCGCAGACTCCCTTCTCCAGCTACAGAGACGCCAGCAAAGACAACTTGTGCACTGACCACTCGAGTTCAAACGAAATGTTGGATTCCGAAACTGAGCCTTGCTTGATGATGGAACACGTTTTAGAAGACGTGGTGATGCCTGATAATCATACCCACAACATGGTTTCATCGGGCTGTAGTTTATTGTCAAGTCGGTTGACACAAAGCGAAAGCTTGAAGGATTTATCGCAGGCCATTTTGAATCGACAACAATACGAGCAGGCTAGTATGAGTTACCATGGTAGCCTCAACACGTCATTCACTAGCGAGCCTGCTTCGATTGACGTCTTCCCATCCACGTCGCTTGTAGATCAAGTAATAGAAGTGGATAACGTCATCACTAGACTCCTGAAAGTTATCAGGATCATTCAACTGGAAACAGATGATAGCATGACGGAGCTGCAGGATAACAGGGACAGTCTTGCAGAGCAAGTGGAGAAACAACAAGAGACGAATAAAGTCGTCGTCAAGCAATTAAAGGATTGGGAGATTTTGGGTTCGAGATTGAAGAGCGAGGTTAAGGAACTGATGGCGCAACTTTGGAGGAAAAATACTGAGATGGATAAACTAAAGTCCGAGTTGAATTATCAAAGAGAACAGGTCGAGGTAAGGTATTTGAATTGTCTGTGATGGTTTGTAAGTAAAATTACTTTTGTTTATAGAAATTGAACCAAGATGTTTGTGAGTTATCCACTGCTTTATCGAAAGCGGAGCTAGAAACCAGGATAAAGGAGGAGGAAGTTGCAGAGGAGATTAAGAAATGTGAAGAGACTGGAAAAACTCCTTCAGCTGAGGTGTTGGGGAGGCTTGTAGCTACTCAAAATGAGGTAAAATAACTGTTTTGCTTAGAAATTGCTTTATAAGCATACAGATTGGTGATATCATATTTTTAACTTTAAATTTGAACTTTATTTGTTTTTCCAGATTCCACTACTAAAAGAAAAACTTGCTGATAAAGAAAAACGTCTAAACGATGTCCGAAAAGAATTCCTGGAAAGCAGACAAGTCTTGACAGAGAGTTTGAAAAACGCTGTAAAAGAAGTAAAAAAACAATATGATGCAATTGACAAGGCCCTAGAAGTAAGTGATTTGTCACATTCAAATCATTACTTACTTATTTGGATTCTTTTTAACATTTCTTTTTTTCAGGTTTTAAATAAAAACCAGGCGATAATTCAGCAATACCCGCCGCTGGCGCAGTTGCAAAGGGAGCTGGAAGACACCAGCTTTCAAACAGCTTCAGCGATGCCGATAGTGGCGCCATCTGACTGCAACGCGAACGCAGCGCTGTTGCAAGCCGTCGGCAATTTGGAGATCGCTCCACCAATCAACACCACCGCATAACGTTTACAGAAAACGTAGTCGATAAAAAACTGTTTGTTAAAGTTTGGAAATTTTAAGCGCCAATTTTAGAGTTATTAGTATCGGCAACATTGTATATTTACGCACAATTAAAAATTAAGTTGAGTTGTTTATTAGATATATTACTATATATTACTGCATACTGATCTGCTACAAACTAAATTTTAAGTATCTTCATTTGATTTGTTTTGTCGTCTGAAGACTGAAATTTGATCTCAATAAATTTATCAGATGTATTTTTAATTTTAATAAATGAAGATATTACTACTAAATAAGTATGAGCCTTGCAAAATTTGAACAAAATATTATAACAGTATTGACCAATTTTCACTGCTATATGTAATCAAAACACATTTTTTATAAAAATATTCAAGATTGCAAACGTTAACAAACAGTTTTAACTAAAGGTACAAACATATTAAGTATTTTAAAATTAATTGAACAAAAAATGATTTTGTACCTTGTAAATATTGATAATATTAAAAACCTCAATTTTGCCATGAAGTTTTAAAATTTGTAAATATTTTTTGTATATTTTATTTTACTTTGTTAAGATAGTACCTACCTAATGCAAAGTGTCCCTGAATTTTAAGGATTGTTTTAAATCTAACCATAACTTTATTTATACGTTATTGACACTTGTATTTATAATTTTTGACTTCCTAGAGATCGAAAAGGCTGATAAATGCCATTTAAAAACACGTCCAATACGAATTTTTTATGTTTAGGATTAAAGAATTTGGTGTTACGTAGGAACGCTTTTATCCTTGATAATCAAAATTGGTTTTCTTTATTTCATTAATAAATAATTTGTTAGTTGTATTTTCAATGCTTCAACAAATACATATTTTTAAAATGTTTGTGAGCAATGCCATTATTGTAAATAAATTATTTATTAGTATACATTTGAGTTTTATTTTTAGTAAAATTTGTATTAAGTTCAGATGCTCTTTTTTAAAGATAACTTCTTTAAAACAATTTTATAATAAATAGAATTTACATAAGAAATCCTGAATCCAAAGCTTTAGAAGGAAAAAAAAGAACGTGTAATCGAATTCACAATTAGGGTTTTAAAGTATCGAAAAAAAAACAGAAAAATTGAGGAAAAAACCTGTTTTTTTCCAGGCCTTGAAAAGATTGTCTTTTTTGGGGAAATTAAATTTTTCGTTGGAAAATATACACATTTGAAAAAATGTAGCAATGAACAATTTAAAATTATTTTAATTTAAACAAAAATTCTATATTACAAAAAAATAAAACTAAACATTGAATTAAGAAAATAAACTTAAACGTAAAATATACTGTTGGTTGTTTTTTTTGCACTAAGGAGTCCATTAAAAATATTAACTACAAAATAATAAATGCACAGAATATGTTTTTTTTGTGGCCCGCAGGCTCTGCATTTTTTCCTATTACCCTAAAAAAAAATTAAAAAATGTAAAAGACAAAATTTTTCTAAAAATTTTCCACTTCCATTATTTTTTCGAATAAAAAACGTTTTTTTTTCGCCGGATCAATTTTTCCAAAAATTTTAATTGTAATCAAAAAAGGGGTTAGGAAATTGCTAAAAATCTGAATTAATTTTTTCTACTCCCACCTTTAAAACGACCAATATTGTACATGTTTCCATGACACTAAATAACCTTTTAAATACACATTGACAAGTTGTGGCTTCATGGCGCTTTAGTCATCGGCTGAAGTTAGCAACAGATTTTTAGTTATTTTAAGTTAGTTGACCTTTGCCAAATGTCATACAATCGTTAAAATAAAGTGCCTTTCTTGTAAAATAATACTAAATGTGAAAATTATTTCATTATCACAATATAAAAATACAAAAGTATTGAATAGTTTCTTGACGCCAATATTTAAAAAGATTATATGAATGTTTGTATTAATTAAACTTTTGATTTTGATGTAGTAGTGGAGTTAACTAGATTTAACTGATAAAGTGTTAAAAATTTTGGGTATTGCCCATAAAACATTCTCTTCTCTTTTACTGTCAAAAACTGATTCTATATCGATTGCTAGAATATTTTCAAGGGATAAATTTTGATTTACATAGAAAAATTTGTGTTTTTAACCCCCGTAGATTTCCAAGTTTCCAAGTAACCAGAAATTCCAATAAAAACAACTGTAACTTTAACATTTCCTGTGTAAGAATGTTTAATACTTTGTGATAATATTTTGCAATTATAGTAATAAATAAAGTCAAAGGATAAAATATTTTCTTATAATCATTTTTTGAAGTTATTTTAATATTTTAAAGTATCAATAATTGTTAATTAAGTTGTATTAAAATATTAACGGGGAATGTCAATGGTGAAAAATGTTTATTGGAATGGTTACTTTATTTTCGTATAGATGTCGCTTTATACAAATATTTAATTTAAATTATTTTTTAGATAATATTAAGTTTGTCGTAGAAAAAGTACTTTATAAATTTTCTAGTCACTCATTTCATTAAGCACTCGCTTGGAAGCTCGCTCGTGCCTAAATTAAATTCTTGACTAAAATGGCCACGGTGCTGTTCTGAGAGGTGATTTTTGGACTTCCTGTGAAACCTAATTTTTTTTTATATTCTTGTTAATTAGGTCATAACTAAAATTTTAAGAACAAAATAAAAAAAATTTGACGGTTTAAATTGTTTTAATTGGCTGTTTATTAAAAATATTATGCACTCTTTCAATTATCCAATTAAAACTAGCGATTTAATTTAAATATTTAATATTTGCATAACTAAAAAAAAGGTTTTTACAATTTTTTTTTATATATTTTACTGTTTTGTTGCAATAAACGTTCAAACTTTTAATCTAACCATTGACGTATACATTTATATTCCCTTAATTAATATATCCTTAAAGGTTGCCATGAAACTTAGATCTATTAAAAATTTATTTGATGTTTTAATTGTCATTTTCAGTAAACGTATTCTATAATTTTTGTTTAGTTTTTTAAAGTGTTTTTTATAAACAAAAATGAAAAATTGTAGTAAAAGTTACGAAGAAATTCATGAAATTTAACTAAGGACCGGTTTAAAGTTTATCGGGCCGATAACTTTCATGTCTTGGCAATATCTAGTATCCAAAGAAATTATTCGTCAAATAAATCAAAAATGAATAAATCGGCCCTAAATAAAATGTGGCACCCTTAGAATTATTGTTTAATAAATGTATACTATACATTTAACCTTAAATTAAAACTTTAAACGTGTATTACAACAAAACAGTAAAAGATATAAAAAATGTATAGACCTTTTTTTAGGAAATTAACTAATCTTTAATCTGATTTAAAAAGTTATGATAATATTTAAATAAAAAGTTTTAATTGCAGAATTGAAAGTGTGCATACATATTTTTAATACACATCCAATTAAAACAAAATTAACCGTCAAATTTTTTTTATTTTGCTCTTAAAATTTTAGTTATGACCTAATTAACAAGAATATAAAAAAAAATTAGGTTTCACAGAAAGTCCAAAAATCACCTCTCAGAACAGCACCGTGTGGCGTTTATTAAAGTTGATACATAATATACTATTATTTTCGAGTTTGTTTTTTAGTTTTTAATTACCAAAAACATTAATTTTATTGTGCACTTTTCAATAATACAGTTTTGACGGGCTGGCGCTTCATTGGCATAAAATAAAACCTTGTTAGACATAAAATTAAACTCGCAAGAACATCTAAAGTTGTTTTATTACAAAAAAGATGACATAACGTTACAATTAATACAAAAATAACCTTACCGTACTCCATATACATATGTAAATAAATAAAAAGTTAATTGGACAAATACAAACGATGGTAGTCGTTCGCGCCGAACGCGCAGTTGCACTTCGGGCACTTCCGCTGCCTTGTTTCGTAGCGCGTTTTGAGACAGTCGTAGCAAAACACGTGGAAACACTTCGATAATACCGCGTCTTTCCTTTTGACCTTGCACGAGGGGCACGTCAGAGTCTCCTTGTACTCCCTGATCTCCTCCATCATCACCTCGTCCAACGTGGTGCCGGCCATCTCCATCTTCTTCATGCGCTCCGCCTTTCGTTTCAGTTGCGCGATTTCTTCCTGGAGACGTTTTGTCTTGTACGCTTCCGCCTCCAAGGAACTCGTCTTTTCCGCCACCACTTGCTGGGCTTCCTTCATTTGGGAATGGTATTTTTCTAAAAGAAAATAACAACTTTCAAGTGCTGCCACTACTGCCAAAAATTTTCATTCAAAAGTCGTAACACACAACTTATTTTTTTATCGATACCTTAGTAGTAATAGTAAAAATTTTCAGTAGTTTTATCATGAATGTAAAGTGTTGTAAAGTGTGAATAAAAAATGTCTTTACCTACCATTAGCATGCCCTTTTGAAGTCTCTATTTTTCAAACGAGTCAAACGCCGCCAAAACCAAAGACAAAGCCGCGAGGCGGTGCCGACTTTGTACATGGCATGTACAAAGTCGGCACTACATGCCGCTTGTGTGAAATATAATGTCCTTTAATAAAAATAAGGTTGACCAATACAATTTTCTTGACGGTAACGATTATAGGAGGTTACAATAGATTAAAAATTATAATTTTGTAATATGTAGGTAAAGTTTAAAAATTATATTTCATTTTATTTATTGTGATGGGTTGGTTGGTAGGGTAGGTATACCCAACCAACCGACCCAAATACTATAGATTTTGCCAACCGTGTTTGGATTTGGAACCAACTGCCAAGACTTTGGAGGGGGGGGTGACTCCCCCCCCTACACCCCCCTTAGGCCCGGCCCTGGATGCAATTCCAAACGTGTTTCAGACTATACTTTTTCTACGTTTCCAAAAATACCATAGAAAAATAATTTAATTGGAAGAAAGTGAGGTTGGATCGGTCTAAAATTTGTTTGATATTAAAAACAGAGATGTCGCCACGAGTGTTTATTCTGTCATCCGATGATAGAATATTTCATTCTGTAACACTTTACAGAATATATGTCATTACATAGATAACAGTGATATTAGAACGGTAATATTCCGTAATAGGAGTAGAAAAAATTTAATATCTTTGTTACAAAGATTTAATAGAGGCGCTATCGAAAGACAACCCTGTGACCTCTTTCATTTGTTCTTCAATCACATCCTGTAGTTTTCCATACTTGTTTTTGACAATTGACAATTAATAATTGACAAATATTATATCACGACCGTGTGTTGTAAAATCAATGCATTGCTAAGGTATTTTGATAATTAGAAGTATAAAATGTCGGAAAACACAAAAATCTAGTACTAGCAGGTATTATAATTATACTATACTTTTTTTCCTTTTCCTGCTGAATAAAAAGGAGGCGGCTAAAATATCTTCGCCCTGGGCGGCAAAAAACTTCGGGCCGGCCCTGCTACCTGATTAAACTATATTTTTTAATTTCCAAACGCAAAAATTACAATAGTGTTATTTTTCTAATATTTGTCAATTAATGTTTTTTTGAATTCGCTGCTTAAAAGTTTCGGTATATATCGTCATTATATTTGTTAGTAATTAAAATTATAGTACTTCTAAATAATTCGACGTTAATGCTTTCTTTGTGCTCCAAACAGAGAAACCAATCAAAATTTAGATGTTTTGTTAAATATTCTTGTAATTTTGTTTTAATATACAAGTCCAAATTTATGTAGTATAAATTTTTTATCAAATGTTCTTGATAAAAAGTCCACTACAAGATCCATTACATGGGTACAATAATTTTTAAGCTTCTGTATATACAAAAGTGCTCTTTTAGTTCCACCCTTACTTCCTAAGAAGTCCCAGAAGCCAACTGAATGGCTAGTGCGGGTTAAGGGTAGGAACGGACCGCGGGCTTAAAGTCCCCACCGAAGGGCTAATATATAATAGGACTATCACAAATAAACAACCATACCAATGTGGGACTCGAACCCACGACCTCTCGGTTTGTAGTCAGCAGTACTGACCACTAGTCCACCGTCGGCGGATATTCTTTAAAAATTATAAATTTTGAAATTATATTTAATACAAGTCCAAATTTAGGTAGTATAAAATTGTTATCAAATGTTCTTGATAAAAAGTCCACTACAGTCTCCATTACATTTTTGAGCTTCTGTATATTCTTTAAAAATTGTAAAGGTGTGATCAGTACTTAAAATATCTGTTAGTAAACTTTATTTACAAACTCCGCAATTAATTTTTTTAAATTTTTTAACCAAAAACCCAGCCACATACGTATAGTAGTTTGGTTTTCATAGGTAATGTCTCTATTAGAATAATTTAAATATGGAGGTTTTAAATCAATAAATTCATTTTTAGAAATTTCTACATGATTTAGAGTTGTCAATTTCACAGTTTGAATTTATAAATCTAGATGATGTCAAATTGTTTAAAACAGTTGTCTGCAATGATTTACCCAATAGTTTGGATCTTGGTATCCCTGTACTTCAACTATTCTCACTAAGTGTCCACATGTATTGATCATATAATTTTATTTTGTCAAATACAGTGTCCTATAAAATTAATGTTTGCTGTTTAAACGGTTGACTTTAGAGAAAAAGTAAATACATAAACAAATATTTTAAAAGATATGTATGTATCTGAAGTCATCAAATTTTGGCAATAATTATTTTAACCAAAACCGGCAGTAAAGTAGTCAACAATCGGCAGTAAAGTTAAAGAAATCGGCAGTAAAGTAGAACTTTACTGCCGATTTAATACGAGTATTGTATGCAACCCATTATACATTTTATGATGTGTCTACTGCTCCTCAGCAGCAACTAAATAATATTTTAAAAAAAGCACCGTCGCGGAGGTCGATTGGACCCTTTTATAAAATGTTGTTTAATAAAAATAATAAGTTAATTTTATTAATTAGATTAAAAAATCGCCGCGGCAGGCAAATATATAATAACCGTCGCAACAGCAGTATACGTAGAAACTTGAAGTGTCACACTTCCTACATTAAAATGACATTTGATTTAATCATCAATATTAATAATTAGTATTATTAAATGTGATTTCGGATAAAATTTAATATGCACCTCACGGCAAATAATTCACATTCGTGATAAAAAATACGACTTTACTGCCTTGATACATAAATAACTATTATTTAATCTTTAAATATTTTTGAATTTTAATTGTTTGACATTTTGATGCATATCTCTTAAAATCTTAATTTTAGAGATTTGTCATGACTTGCATTGTACAAAAAATGTATTTTTTTTCTAAAGTCAACATTTTACAAGTTTTTGCCAACATTTTAAATTATATTTGATTAGATTAATAAGGAAAGTTTGAAAAAAAAACATCAAATGTGAAAAAAAACATATGAAAAAAAATTGTTTTTACGTTAATTAAAAGAATAGTGAGTTTTTTGCCAAAGCCAAGCACCCAATTTGTTACAATTTTGCACTTTCTTGTTACTCTGGAAGGGTTTTACGAAACTGCGTGGAAATTTACCTGTTATTATTTTTTACCAATTGAAATACTAGAATGACTGGGCTATAATATAACTTCACTGGACTATTTAAAATGATTAAAAATAGCATTTCAACTAATAATACTAAATAATATTAAATAAATATTAAATAGAGAATAAATTTTATTCCCTTCCACAGATATTTTATATACCAAGTAAGTCAATAAACAGTTTTAAAAGGTTCTCCTTAACTAAAATTTAAAACTAAAACGATATCAAAATGCAGATGCTCACCTAAATGCAACTTGAGATCGGCGGCACTCTGCGCAGACTCGATGGCCTTCCTCTTGTGCATCTCCATGGCTTGCTGCCTCAAAGTCAACTCTTTCTCCATGGTTGCCAGAGTGTTCTGCAAAATCCGCTCCTTCTCCTCCAACCTTCTCACCACCAAGTTGGCGGCGTCGACCTGCGTCGTCAAAGTCGAAACTTGCTCCTTGAGAACGTCCTTTTCCTCGCGTGCCAACTTGTGCAGCTGATTCGATTTAATGCGTTCCGACATCAGTTTGAAGTTGGCGTCGTCCTTTTCGCGCAGCTGCTGAATGAGCCGCGAGTTTTGCTCCTGCATGTCCTCGAACGCCTGGCCGGTGACCTCCATTTCGTTTAGAAGCGCTTCTTCTTCGTGCGAACCCACGAAAGGTCGCATCTGGTGGAGCACGTTGTGACCGCCCCAATTGCCGTCCGACGGTTTTTGGTTGGCGACCTGCTTTTGCAGCTCGTATTTCTGCTCTTCGAGCTGCTTGATCTTCTTTAAAGCCTCGTCGTCTGCCAGCTTACGCTTATCGTCGCGTTTCACGTCCTGGATTTTTTTCAACGTCTGGCGCAAATCGTCCAAATCGGTTTTTAGCTTTTTCTCCGACGCCATCAGTTGCACCTTATCTCTTTGCTCCTTACTCACGCCTTTGTACATGTCCAGCAGCAGTTTCATTTCCTTCTGATCGTTCAGAGCTTTCTTGAGCTGGTTCTTCAAGTCTCTGATCATGTCGCTTTCCGCGATTTTGGCTTCTTTGGCCCTTTGAGCTTCGCGATGATCTTTTTCGGTTTTAACGACCGGCTCCTTCTTCACTTCCTTCTTTTCTTGTTTTACTTCCTTTTTGATGTTTGGAGAAGTCGCGGTGCCTGCCTTGTCCTTCTCGCCCTCAGCTTCTTCAGATTGCTGCAAGGATTACGATAATTTTTGTTCCCAAATTAATTTATTTTCATTAAATTTATCTGGGAAAATATTACAACGTATGTTAGGTACAAAGAGAAAAGTATATTTAATCTGTGGTCCTAATGGGTGATTCAAAATAATCGAATATTTTTTTACTTCTGACACTGAAAAATTGGTTCTTAGGCACCTCTAGAATGTGCTAACGAAATTTGAGTTCATAATATAATAAGAACCTCATCACAGTTTTCTATTATTTATTTAGTCCCTATATTTCATTATTAATCAATTGCTTATCAAATCTTTACACATATTTTTGTAGGAAATTAAATGCTCAAAAAAGGACTGAGGTGTTTGCGCAATTACTCTAACCATTTAAAATATATTCAAGATCAAACTGAACAATTTATTTAAAAAAAATATATTTTTTTAATAATTTTATTATTGTAATATGAGTATGACATATTTTGTAGGAAATTTAACGCTCTACAAAAATGTCTAATGTTTTTAATTGATTACTCTAACTGTTGAGAACATATTTGTATCCGAATCCCTAGCGTACTGATACGAATATCTTTTCAACGGTTAGAGTAATCAATTAAACACATCAGACCTTTTTTGTATGGCGTTAAATTTCCTACAAAAATATGTCATACTAATTTGACATTAATTATTTTTCAATGAGTTTTTCAAAATTATAACAAAAAAATTAATAAATTCTTCAAACTTTGATCTTGAATATCTTTTGGTAGAGCATTTAATTTCCTACAAAAATATGTATAAAGATTTGATTAAACGATTGATTAATAATGAAATATGGTCTTTTTTATAAGGGACTAAAGAAAAAATGGAAAAATGCGATGAGGAAGATCTTCCTATTAATATTAAGAGCTCAAATTTGGTGAGCACTTTCTAGAGGTGCCAAAGAACCAATAAGTAAAAAAAAGAATATTCGATTTTTTTTAATCACCCTAATGTTTGTTTATTTGTGTTCATGCTTTACTCATTAAGTAGTCGTATAGCAAACTGGCTTTTTGGACAGCAAATTTCAAGTTTTTGTACAGCACGACTTCCTCGTGGATTAGATTGTCTCCGAGTACATAGTTCAATTTCATATAAGTTTATATTTTGAGAATTTTTTTTAACTGTTTAGTTAATAACTAACTTTAATTGTAATATGGATCTTGTTCCTCAAAAATCTCATAATAGAAAAAGTATGAAGTTTGTATAATACAGCAAAACATTTATTAGAATGTTTTCCATTTTAGCTATCCTTAAAAGAAAATTAAAAATTATATTGAAATATGGTTAAAAATTACAATTTCTAGGAGCTACCACATGGATTTTGTTTTTAGGTATATTTTGTTGTTTTTTAAGAAAAATGTAGGTGTAATATATCATTTCAAAAGGAATTTAATAGACTAGAATCTAAAAATATAATACTTTTTAAAAAAGAAATTTTTTAGCACAACTACCTTAGTTAAATGTAGTCAGGTTGGACTATTTATATTTAATTTTTAGGAGGTGTGGGAGCCCTAAAATATATAAAACCCTAATGCTGAAAGATTAAAATGTTCCTAATGTAAAAAAATAACACCTTTAAGGAAAAACAATTGTTATTTATGCAAAAAAAAATATAATAGTGTATTTATTTATAAGGAGCTAAAGTGACATTAAATAATAAGAAATAAATTTTAAATTAGGAGAAAGTGAGGTTAGAAACGTCTAACAGTTGTTAGATTTTTGGTATTAGCTTTAAAAGGCAGTAAAAGTACAAATTAGACTTTCTTTCAGTAATTAATCTTAATAAGCAAAAAAATTACCTCAGCTTCTTCCTCTTCTTTTTTGACAACTGGAGCACTGGATGGTTCTTCTTTAACCTGCGTACTCGACTCATTCGTAGATGTATCTTCCTCCTTAACAACTTCCTGCTTTATATTTTCCTTGGTATCCTCCCTGCTTTCCTGGACTTGCTCTAATTTAGCTTTCAAATCTTCGATCTCTTTCTTGAGCTTCGGAATCTCGGTATTGGCCTCCTTGTACTTCCTCTTGTACCTGTGCACCTCCCCCTTGAGCTGCTGCGTGTTGTTCTGCAGCGACGTAATCAAGTGCCGCATCTCTCGGTTGATCGGTCCGGTTTGCTCGTTCGCCGCCAAATTCTGCTCGAACTCGATGCGCAACATCTCGTACTCCTTGCGCAGCTGCGCCAAGAAGTCCTCCAGCTGCATCACCTCCTGGCGCAGCTTCTTCTGCGCGATCAGCTCCTCGCTCTCCATCATCTCGATGTTGCGCAGGTGCGAGTTCTTGCTGGTCTGCAGCTGCTGCCGCGCCTCGTCCAGCTGCGTTTTCAGCTGCATCGATTCGTTATAGAGCACGGAGAATTGCGATTGCAGGCATTTGTATTCGGTGGTTTCCACGATCACGCTCTCGGGCAGCTGACGGATCTGAAGGCGAAAATTAAATGCTGAAATCAGTGTTGCCAACCCTACCGAAATTTGTTCGATTTCTAAATAATTTTACCGATCTACCGACAGAGCTGGGAATAGTACATTCTGTAACAAGTTTGGAATACAGCATATTCCGCTCGAGGAAAAATTTGACACACGAGCCGAAGGCGAGTGTGACGGTTTTACGAGAGTGGAATATGCTATTCCAAACGTGTTTCAGACATTATTTTCTCTACGACTACGTAAGAATAGTAACGCTTATATAATTTTAAACAGAGAAATGAACCTAGCAGTTTTTGACATTTAAGTGTTTTGTATTGTCAAACCATTTTGTGCCGTCACAATTTTATAATGTAAATTATAATAAATTTAAACAAATTGTACAATACGTATGCCTAAATCTTTATTATAATTAAAAATAGTTATTTACACTAAATAATAAAAAAATAACATTGTAACAAATACAAAACTAATTTTACAAGTAATCTATGTCAACATCTATTCTTTTTCTACATTTTTAAAGGTCTTTTTTTAAACTTTTTGAATCTGTCAAAACTTCAAAGCCGGTATAGTAGGTAACTGGTTTATCATTTTAATATCAAATTTATTATAATTTTGATTAGTATATTTGAAAAACAATAAATATAACTAATTTTTTGTGCCTAAACCTTAATTATACAACTGCTATTATTTTTTAATTAACAAATAATACAGTAATATTTAAATATTTTTAAATTTTTTACGTTTAGTAAACAGCCAGGAGATGTCGTTACTTGTGACCATTCTTAAACAAGAGTAGGAATATTCTCGCCCAGTATTGCAGAAAAACATCATTTCTATGATCAAAAATTACACTAGAATGTTACTATAATAAGAATAATTCTTAAGTAGTCGTAGAGAAAGTTACTTCTGAAAAGTATACAGTTACTTTAAACAAAATAACTTAGTTACCTCTGGTAACTAGATACTTTGAGTTAAAAGTATCTTTAGTTACAAGGTACTTTAAAAAGTATCTAAGATACTATCCGAAAGTATCTAAGATAGGTACTTTTGAGTAACTAAGATACTTTTAAGTAACTAAAATACTTTTGAGTAACTAAGTTACTTTTAAGTATGAATAAAAAATATAAAATTATGAAAATTCAACAAGTTGTAGGTTAGGTAATTACTTTGAATCATTCTGGAATTCCCCCAATTTTCTCTAAGAAAGTATCTAAGTTACACTGAAAAGTATCCAAGTTACTTTAAAAAGTATCTTAGTTACTTTAAAATATCCAAGTTACTTGAATGTATCTTATTTACTTTACCAAGTAACTTAGATACTTTTTAAGATACAAGTTACAAGATACTTTTTCAAAGTAACTTAGTTAAAGATACTTTCTGTAAAATATAAAAAGTATCTAAGATAAAGTATCTTTTTTTTCAAGATACTCCCAGCTCTATCTGCCGATAAACATCGATATTTTCCCGAAATTGTGAATAATTACAGCCAAAATGTACATTTAAAGCCACCATTCTACACTAATGTATTATGGCCTGCTAAACTCAAAAATAACAATAATTTTTGTTTTATGGCAAGATTTTCGATGCAGCTTTACAATTTGGGTCATATCTCGAATTGGAAACGACCATTCTGGTTGCAAAAGGTATCAAACTAAACATAATCGAATCGCCGACCAATATACTCTGTTAATGCCCAATAAATTGAGTAGTTTAGGTGCAATATGCTCGCATATTAAAAAAAGTCATTTTTTGGCCAAAATTAGGAATGCAACTTTCACCTTTTGGCCAAGAACGAATAAAAATCATCGAATTATGACCGTTTCGAATTATTAAAGAAGAGACCACACTTTTGCGAATAAAACAATTTCTAAGGTTTTTACGTAAAAAATCCATGTATAAATGACAAAGTTATGAGCATTTATGTACAAGTAGCAAAATTCAACTTTTTGTTTATTTTTGGAAAAAGTTTTTGTCGATATATTAATTTTTTTCTTCTTAAAATTTTGATTTTGACGATGTGATAATTATCGATGATTGGCTGAAGAATTATGCAACAATTGGTATTTGTTCTATTCTTTTAAATTGCATCTTTTATCACATATCTTTTATTCCTTTGATCAACATGCATAAATATGTCCCGGAGAATCCATACAACTCTGTTAAACTTTTTTTTTATTGAACCAGAGTGGAAGACATGAATGAAGATTTCACCATGAAATGAAGTCCATAAAGCGGCGCTACCAGAGATTTTTAGATACTTATATGAATGGGGGGAAATTATTTTTTATTTTATAAGAAAATCAGAAAAAAAACAATCAAAAAGATAAAACTATTTATAATAAACTGTCAAAATACTTTATGGTAGTATTTTTATGATGGCAGTAGGTGAAAAATTAAAATGATCCATCCTTCACACTATTTTTGGACTTTTACCTTAAGTCAAAAAAAAATACCTATTGAGTTATCTGATACAACACAATAACAGAAACAGTATTGTAACAGCAACATCACACTGTGAAATTTAAAATTTGAACAAAAAAATAGCAACAAATAAATAAATGCAGCGCCCCCTGAAATTAAATGTTTGGACTGGAATTCTTGGAGACCATATCATTGGGCCATTTATTATTGATGGTAATCTTAATGGGCAAAAGTATCTAGAGCTACTGCAAAATCAAATTGTTCCGGCACTTCAAAATTTGTCAATTCCGTTTGAAACCATATGGTTTCAGCAAGACGGGTGTCCTGCACATGATACTTTGGTTGTTAGAGAGTATTTAAATGACAACTTTCCAAATCACGTGATAGGTCCTCATGGAGATATTCTTTGGCCTCCAAGATCACCGGATTTGACTCCGTGTGATTTTTTCTTGTGGGGATACGTCAAGTCGAAAATTTATGGATTTCAAGAGCTCAGGGCTAATAATCTCGATGAATTAAGGGTGCAAATCTTTAATACATTGGGAGATATTAGTCCTGAAATGCTGTTTAACGTGCGCAGGAATTTTTATGATAGGCTAGGGTATTGTTTAACTGCTGCTGGTTGTCTATTTGAACATTTAATTTAGAAAAAAAGTTATTTTCGTTATTTTAGAATTATTTTTGTTTGAGAATTTAAAGGTTTTATTTTTATCGAATTCGTTTCTTTTGTAATATACTGCCACCATAAATCATCATTTGGACTTTTGCAATTGAAACTATGTAATAGGCTTAGAAATGAAAAAGTTGTAAAATTTACGTTTTTATTTAAATCAAAATTGTAAAATAAATAAAAAAATAATAAAATAAAAAAGAAAGTATGGGTTGGATTTGGGAAAATTTAAACAGACAAGGAGCTTTTTCAAAAGAATTATCCATCGAGTCTGACGAATCCGACCAATAATAAAGTTGTTATAAATGTGTTAGTTTTTATGTTAAATCACAAATTCCTAAATTTTATTTGGCTACTAATGGTAACCTACTATATATATTTTTATATAAAGACATTATTAAAAATATATATCAAAACTTGATATATATCCAATATTTTGATATTTATATAAATATCATATTTGCCAACCTTGTTTTGCAACCAGATTGACTGTTTGTACCAAATGTACATTTCTTTTTTATTAATTTGTAAACAAGTGTTATTATAATAATAAACATTATAAATTCCCTGCCTAACAACGGAAATAATGAACATTATCCATGTTGTTAGGCATCACTGATTGGCCGATTTCAACATTTACTGGGATTTGAACCAATCGGATTTTAAATTTAAAATTGGTAAAAAGTAAGGTTAAATATTTGACATATGTCAGATTTTATTTATTTATTTTTGAATTATCTACTTATTGGAATAGATAAAGTATATTATTACACTCGAGATTATGCGCATTATCGCTTGTATAATAATATACTATTATTTGTCACAAAAAAAACAATTATCGATTTGTAATCACGGTTACCTACAATCAAACAAACACGGAGCTTGTCAGATCAAACAAAAACACTGCTTTCTCATTGGCGGTTTTAAAAGTGAAATAACTCACGTTTGCGAATTCAAAAAAATGTTTTTTTTAAATATAATTTTAATTAATATGGTTTCTTTATTTCAAATATGACTTATTTGATAGCAATAAAGTTATTCACGGTTTATGGTAAAAAAATACACTTACATCCATTTTAAGCTTCTCAACCTCCTTCAATGTCTCCCGATGGGTTTGATGCAACTTATCCAGCTCCTGAAGACGATTGTTGGCCAGCTCTTTGTACTCCTCAACCTCCTTAATCAAATCCTCCAACTTGGCTTGCGAAACGCTTTGTTGAACCTGCGGTTTGGCCTCTTTGCTGCCCTGGGTAGCCATGCTATCGGGATCGCCATGCATTTGATGGTACGTCTTTAATTTCTCGACAGCTTCGGCCAAATGGGTTTCCAACTTGTCGTTTCTGATCCTGACTTTGTCCAGTTCGTATTGCAAATCGTCGATTTGGTTTTTTAATTCCGCTGTCTCGGTTTCCTTAGCTGTTACGGAATCTTGCAACTCCGCCACTTTTAAACTGTTTGTGTGGAACTTTTCGTGTAATGTCGTGTGTAGAGCTTGTAAGTTGCGATTTTCCGCTTGCAGTTGGACGTTTGTTTGCCTTATTACTTCGTCTACTGGTGGAGCATCCTCTAAAATAACAAGTTTCATAATGCTTCATCTTGCCAAGATTTTAGGTTTTTATTTAAGCCTTTTAAGAGAATGAGTATGTAAATGTTTACCATAACTTAATTATTCTGTGGTCCATTAGAAGTTACTGGGGAACGGAAAAAGATATTGATTTGAATTTTTAAAAGCGTTTATTATCCATTTAAGTCCATTTTTCTAAAATATTTTGAACCAAATACCACTTCCGGTTTAACCGAAAGTGTCATAAACTTTGTTATTTAAAATACCCCATATATTTTTACATTTTAAATTTTGTATAAAATTCTGAGTAAAATTACTATATCATGTTCTATACCTAAAGAGAATAGTTTTTGAGTTAATTTTTTGTTGTTAAAATTTGACAAATGTGCCCATCCAGTGCCTATAACTTTTTTGTCATTAGGTGGAATTTTTAGAATCTTAAAACATTGTTTTAAGATATTTAGCAATTTCTGATCAATTAATATTTTGTATCAAGAAACCTGTGACGAGTGGGTTGATGGTATCTATGGTTACCACATAATCTGTCACTGTTTAAAATTAAATGGGGTGAATTTGTTGACTAATTAAGTGTTTTGTAAACAATATTACTGATAAAAAATAGTCTCGAAAATAGCAGTCATTGACTAATGAAAAACATTAACAATCCAAACATTTTAAAAATTTATTTAAACAGTATATACTAATTTTGAAAAAAATCAACAAAGCTGTAGGATGTCAACTAGATAAAGCACTAGCTCATTGGAGACAATAAAATATAAAATTTATTTTATGAAATATTTTAATAACAAGAATGCATAACTGTAAAAATTTAATAAACCAACAACATTTTAATTAAACAGTTTTATTTATTTTAAGTGTCCTCCATTTACAATCAAGCATTTCTTAATTCTAAACGTTGCTCTTCTTGACTAAACTATTGTTGGTTTATTAAATTGTTACAGTTATAACAACCTGAAAAATTGATGCCATTAAATTTTCAACAATGACAGAGTATGTGGTAACTAGTGGTATGTGGTAACTAGTAACTATAGATACCGTCAATTTACCTGTCACAGGTTTTTTGATACAAAATAATATTTAAAATTTTAGTAATTGTTAAATATTTCTTAAATTATTAACATTAAGTATAAGGAATAGTCCCATCAATAGATCAATCGAAAGGTTTTTTAATTTACTATATGATTATGTAAAAACATACTGAGTGTTACATTTAAAATAAGAAAGTTTTTAACTAATTTGCCCTGGAATTTCTCAGGTAATTTGTTGAAAAATGTTAAAGAATTGACAAAGAATATTTTAAACAATGTTTTAAGATTCCAAAAATTCCACCTCCATATTGGCAAACCAAATAACAAACAAGTTATAGGCTATTTTTGATTGACGCGCATTTCTTAAATTTTAACAAAAAATTAATAACTCAAAACTATTTACTTTAGGTATAGAACATGGTATAGTAATTTTACTCAGAATTTTGTGGAATTTAAAAATGTAAAAATATATGGGGTGTTCTATTTGAAATAACAGAGTTGATGACCCTTCAGGTTTAATCAGAAGTGGCATTTTGTTCAAAATATTTTAGAAAAATGGACTTAAATGGATTATAAAGGCTTTTTAAATTTCAAATCGATATCTTTTTCCATTCCCCAGAAACCTCTAATGGAGCAAGAATGTGAAAAACCCTGTAAAAAATTTAGCTTAGTGCCCAAGCACAATTCCGCGCGCGCTACTTATAAAACCTTAATACAAAGTTTTGATCACCATAAAAACTATAAAGGACATTTTATAACTAATTTATAGAAATAAGTAATCCTAAACAAATTACAACTATCTTACTTACGGCCTTCTACCTCTCCCTTCAGAGCAAGTGTAATTTTCTCATTTCTTTGCATTAACCTGTCAAAAGCTTGTATAACTTTTGCCACTGCCCTTCTTGATACCTGCACCCTATTAGCTAACTTATCATTCAACTCATCCTTATCCCAAGTCGACAACTGCATTAAAAACGATGTGGTTGCCTCGTTTTCATCTAAAATAAATTAACTATAGCACAAAAACAGCTAAACTATTGATTTTACTTTTATTCTCCGACTCATCAGCAGTCTCAGCGTCAAACCGTTGTAACAATATACGAATGTCCTCGTTTAACTGATTCCAATAACGATTGACTACATTGAGCATAGCATCATCTTGTGTTTGCCTTTTTTCAAGCTGTTCTATCCTCTGCCTTAACTCTTGTTCAGTCCTATGTCTTTGCTCAATTCTCTAAGGTTTAACAATGATTGAAAAAGATGAAACTTGACTTATGGTTTATTTTTGTTACCTGAGCCAATTTCTTGTTTTGAAATTGTAGTACTTTGATATCCATTTCCTCCAAAGTGGATACAGGTCCAATAAGATGAGGTTCGAAATGGATTTTTTTGATTGGGGGTTGGCCCCCGCTCGACCCTTCATCAGCATGTCTTTTTGACATTTTGAGGTTAGGTGGCTAAAAAATAAACAAATTGACGCCAAAAATCGATCAAAATAACTTCAACTCAGGTAATATTTAATATAAATACGAACAAAACATTCACAAACCCTTGGAAAGTGACAAAAATTGCTTAGATATCAACTTCAAAACAAAACAGTGATGGGTCAATATTTTTGATAATACAGCAGTAAATTTGGGTTTAATGGGCGCATTTTCGAAATAAGTATGCGGTAAACATACTTACAAATAATTTGGAGCTACTTCATTGGTTTTTCTAATTATTTTTTCCTTAATTTACAATCGCCAAAATCGGGCGGGCGGCGAGAACAAAACCAAATCGACTTTCAAGTGTTATTCGCAGAACCGAATTTAGAACGAGCCTGAATATACAGGGTGTCCTGAAAATGGCGCACTATTAAATTTAATAGTTTAAACTCTGTTTTCAGAAACAAGTTTTTTATAAGGTTATATAAAGAGTGCGAAATTGCTACCACGCCGAACCACTCAATCAAGAAATATAGGTACCTAATACTATTTTTTGCGAAAAGAATCAAGGTTTTGATGTTTATTTTAAATTATTTTAGGCCGATTTGATACTTTAATACACCCATAGGCGTTACGCGTCCACTCCCTTCCCTTGTCTAAAATAAATTTACGACAAGTACTTGTTGAAAAAAAATTTATTTGATTTTTTAATATTAAATTTTGTCTCATAAATAGTCTTTTCAAGGAGAACAAATTTAGTATTCTTGAGTTTATAATACAATAATGTTTATTTGTTAAGAGAGTCTGATGTTAAAGTTCATAATCATTAATTGATTCTTTACGAATCCGATGTTAAATGCATAATTATATTTTACTAATAACAATCACGACGAATATGATATTCGTCGTGATTGTTATTCGGAATATCGATTTATTCGCCAACGGTACTTCTTTCACTAAAATTGGTACCCAAGAATAACACTTGATGTTCTGATCACAAACCTCGCGCATATAGACGATTGTTTCTTTTTCATCTTATAATTTCCTTGAATAAACATGCATTTTCCGTCTTTAAAATGAGCTATAAATCTTAATTCTTAAGGTTTCTTGGATATTTCCATATTTAAACCAAATGTTCATTTATTTTCATTCGAAACGATGATATACTTATTTGCATCAATACTGTATTCAAGGTCTCTCGTTCTGGTTAACTGTATTTATTGAAATTTGCTTTATTTTAGATAATTTAGTGTTTTTGGGTGGATATTTAAAAGGATTATGGAGGATTTATGCTAAATTGAATGCATAATTATTTTTGTATGTAGTTTTAAGAGGGTAAATCCATGTAGTTTACCTGGAATCTAAAAATGATGAAGGTATCATAAAATAAGTATTAGCTATGGGAATTAGTCAGTTTTATTGAAATGCCGTGTGTTTAAGGTTCTCGCTTTCTGATGATATTGTTCGGTCTTTCTATTAATTCAGATGGTAGAAATTCAAAGTGTGATACTGATGATAAGTCATGGGTATATATTGGAAGAAGAATGACGCTCAATGATTATTAGAGAAGCAAAATCATTGTGAACGGAGAAATAGTTGGAAAGATTTTCAGCTTTCGTTGGCCTGTTAGCTGATAACCGATTCCGATTCCCACCATTTGCGCCGTATGCCCAACGGATCAGAGTCAGGCAGTGGGGAGCGCTTGACAACACATCATGGCGTACTCCATCCAAACTTATGATCGTGCTCTAATTTCCGTTCTGTTTGGTGAATTCCGCGTTTTTTTGTAAGGATTTTTTGAGTTTGTTTGGTGTTTTTTGTTTGTTGTTGTGATTATCGTGATTCCATCATGTCGGAGCCGACGATCGGCAATTGTCTGAGCTGCTGCAGGCTCTGCTTGACCGAGAAGCATGAGGATTTGTCGAACGTGTTCGATGAAGATTCGACCCTTGTTCAAAGGATTTCGCATAGTTTATCAGTTGATGTAAGTAATACAATAAGTAGATAAGCAATAATTGATACGCAATACGTTAATGAACGGCTTACTGCTGACGATGAAGCATTCTCCACCCAGACATCGCGAAGGCTGGTAATAAGGTCGAGAATCCTATGCGGTACAATTGCACTCTCGACCTTAATGCTACCCACTGGCATTTAGAATGTAGGAAAATGGATGCCGTTGTTTCTTGAGCTAATTTTTAATATGCTGATTTGTTTACTCATTTCTTCAATCCCTTTAGTACACCAACATGTTGAAGGTCGATTTATGACTTAAAATAACAAATGCTGTTTGATTCTATGAATACCTGGCGTGCCTTTTCACTATACAGGATACTCCGGAAATGCTCCAGACAAATTTCATTATTCACTGCAGTTCTCATGAGAACAAGGAATATTGAATCTATTTACTAAATTTAGGTGTTTTCGTCCATAATATTTATTTTATCTACCTTTTTTAAGCGACCTTGATTCTAGTTGACCTTATTTAAAGCTCAATTAATAATGTAAATAAATGCATCGAAATATTATTGTATTTTTTTTGAATTTTAAGTTCTTTTGCATAGGTATGCCATTTGTAATTTCTTGTTTCAGATAACGACCAGCGATAAACTTTCCACGTTGGTATGTGCACAGTGCGTTGAAAAAATTAACAACTGGCACGCGTTTAAAGAAGAATGCACCTTGAACCAAAACAAACTGGAACTGAGGAAGAACTTCAGCTCATTTAACGAGGTGAGTTCATTTAGAATGATAATTTAAAAGAGGAGACTTTCAATGAAGTTTTCCAAAAAAGTATGGATTTCTTTTTTATTATAAAATTGATTATACAATAATGATATAATTAGATATACTTAGGTAATACCTATTAGGTATACTTAAAATAAACAATAAATGATTTATTGTTATATTATAAATCAGAAGTATATTATATATCAGGTGGGTAATAATAATAACTGGATAATACTTAATTACATAAAATGTTTTGTATACAAAAAAAGATATAGTTAGGTATCCTATAAAAAATATATATATTTTTTATATGATACCCTTGATACCTACCTATATCTTTTTAATTTTATTTGTACATATTTCCTGATTTTGTACATACACAGGCACAGGATGCAACTAAAGTTTAAAATTCTCCCTAAATTTTCTCAAATATTTCCAGTTTAATGTCTTTATTAATTTAAAATACAGTGTGCACAAAAAAGCTGTGTGCATTTTGTCCATTTACTGTAAAATGAGGCAACGGTGCCGTTTATCGAAAAGCACCGCGCTTTTTGCGTACGTGTATTTTACCAAAACAATTTCGCTTATTACCAGTTTCAAGAAATTAACTTAACATTTGAATCAATTTTATAGCATCAGGACTAAGTGATAATTATCACTTAGTCCTGATGCTATAAAATGGACTCAAATTTTTGAAGCTACTGAGCTATAGTGAAAATACATAGTGTGCTGTGAATTTTCATTCAGACGCTTGCCACGGGCGCGATCGAAGTGGGGCGCCACATTTATTTCAACACTTCTTTTTTTTATTTAGGAATTGACGGTTTAAAAAAATATCTATAGATATTTGCTATAGCATCGAAATTAAAACTTGGACTTTAACATGCGAAGACTTTATCGGGTGCGTTTGCTTTAAAACAGCTAATAACGCGAATAAAAAAAGTTCATAAACGATAGGGCTACAGTAAATTAAAATTTCTAATTGTTAAAAAAAACATCAAAATCAGGTAGCGGTTCGCGAGGATATCATACAAACACTTTATCCGAGAAGTTGGCTTTATAAAAAAAGTATGATTTTATTTACATCCGCTATTATGCACCCCGCTTTTGCACAATGTGGGTACCTATTAGGGATGCACCGGATCAGGTATTTTGCCGATCCGGCCGGAACCGGAATTTCGGCCGCTGGCCGAACCGGATCGCCGGAATTCCGGCCGGATCGGGACCTAAATTTAAAATGTATGTGCATGCCTGTTTTTATACGTAAAACATTGAAAATATTGAGGCTGATTTATTTGTACTTTTTTTTAAACTAGCTACAGTATGCAGAGTATTTATTACTATTAATTTTACCTAGATAGAAATTAGTGTTTATTTAAATATTAATTTTTAATTAGTGTTAACAAAATTAAAACAATTCTACTCATTTAATTGGAGAATAGCAGCCACCTGCCAATAATAAAAAAATTAAAAAGAAGTCAGGAAACCACAGCCGCCGGTCTATCATAGTCAAGGAAAGACGCACACCCTTTACTGTTGACCAATTACAAAATATATCTGGAAAGCGATCCGGCCGGAGCGATCCGGCCGGAACGGTAGTTCCGGCCAACTGGCCGGATCGGCCGGATTTAGTGGTACCGCCGGAATTCCGGTGCATCCCTAGTACCTATGTGCTAAAATAAAAATAAAAATGTCTACCATAGCATCATTATGAAAGAGTGAACCTACATAACCATATTAACATTATTATCGATTAACATTATTATTGATTAATATTATTATTGATTGATGTAAACATTAAAATTGTTGACAATTTCTGGTGGCCGAGTTTTTGACGCTGATTGTGTTTACCAAGATAATTTTAGGTTTCAATCTTTTAGAATTATGATTTCATAAATGATGTCTATTGGTATTTTTTATATGATTGATGTAAACATTAAAATTGTTGACAATTTCTGGTGGCCGAGTTTTTGACGCTGATTGTGTTTACCAAGATAATTTTAGGTTTCAATCTTTTAGAATTATGATTTCATAAATTTGGTCTATTGGTATTTTTTATAGGTACTTAAGTACCTAGTAGATATTTTGGAATTTTCGAATGTTAGGATTTAAATTCAAATAAAACTTAACACAGATTCAGGGGCGGACCGTTGACTTTGGGGGCCCTGGGCTAAAGCTCTTTGGGGGCCTATCAATAATTATATATATCGTCTTAAACTGTACAATTTCTCCCCCAATTATATATAGATAAAAACAATATGCATCTTTAAATTAAAAAAAAAAATGCAGATAGAACACTATAATTCTCAAACAACAAATTCTTACGTAAAAAATACAGGAAAAAAGCACCTATTTAAGCATTTATACAATTTGTGCAGATAAAACCTGTACAATGCAAGGCCATATATTTCTTGGTTTAAAATAAATCGACCTAACCCAACTTAAGCCTAAATAAAGATTGCTTTGTTTAGATGCTAGCGGCCTTTAAAATATGTAAAAAGATTATTTTATATTGCAGTATACGTATTATACTGATTAACAAAAATCGACTATTTTTTTCTATAAAATTTTATAGCCTCGTGAGCCTGTTAAAATATCACCCATTAATATTATTGGTTGCTAATCATGATTTTACATTTAAATTAAGTATGTAGGTACATGAGATTTTTTCATTTTGGAATTATATAACTCGTTAACGGATT